GGTCCAGGACTCAAACCATGGTCGGCTACATGGGAGTCCAGTGACATAGCCATAACGCTAACTGCTGGTCCCGTCACTGTGTTCTTCTGATAGGGACATATTTCTTGCTTTATTCACCTGAGACTCTTCTTTTACTTCTAGCCATTGGGAGATGTATTCACTTTGGAATACCTCTTAAGAGAATGTTTCTTCGAATAGGAGCAAGTGTGTTTCCCTTTTGCTGTTGACTGAAGACTGCCAAAGTCTCTCTTCTGTTGTGTTTAGCAATGTGATCCAAGGAGGAATATTCTGGCTGACAGAGATAAGGGTTTCTGGCTTGGGGGTGCCAGGGCTGGAGCTGGGTCGGGGACCCTGCCTCTGTCCCTTAGGCCAGGGGTCTCTCAACATACTTTTCTTTAAGAAATAAATGCATATCATTTATTTTGTTGAGAATATTCATTATTACATATCACATGGATATATCAAACGTCATAAATATGTACAATTGTGGCCATTTAAAATAAAATATATAATAAAGGACTTGATATATAGCTTTCTAATGATGCAGTGTAGCCATTTTCTTTTAGTTTCTGTACATTTGGGATATTAAGAATTCAATGATTATTTTAATGGAAACATTATACTTGACTGATCATTTTCAAGGTGCTTTCATGAAGTAAATAACAGTGAATAAAAGATTGAGTTAAAATCTCTCAGGTCTAACAGGGTGACTTTTTACTACATTTTTAACCTCTCTGAACCTCAATTTTCTCGACTTTAAAAGGGAGATGTGGGTCAGTTAGTGGCATGGTGGTTAAGGTGGTTGGATCACAAAAATCCTGGATCTGGCAGCTTAAAAAAAACACACTGGTACATGCATGCACCCAAAATCCCTAGAGGAGAATGAAGGAGAACGGATTATTGCATGGCCATCCCCCCTGGGGATGATTTCTTACTTTTCTTCTCTCTCTGTGTGTCTTCTCTCCTGTGAGCATACTTGCCCTATAGAAAAATAAATAAACAAAAAATAGACAGCAAGGGGTAGTGTTTTCACTATGCTTATGGAATTGCAGGTGGATTAAATGCCGTAATGCTTTTAAGGATAGGAAGCATTAGGTCCAGCACTGATGCTTTGGACAAACTGATGGGGATACTGGAACTCAGTTAGTTAAAAGTTAGTCACAGATTAATAACTAGCAGAGCCAGAACTAGAGCCCACATTTTTTCTCTTGGATTCCCATGTTATTATAAAATCCATTTCTCTCCCTAACCATCACACATAAGCAGTCTGAGTCAAATGAACCTAAATACATTTTTTGAAACATAACCTCTAGAAAAGACCAAACTCTGTACTTAAGGTTTTATTATTTGAATCCTTATCATGAAATTCTATGAGAAAGCAGGTGATGGTGTGACCTCTGTCCCAAAGCAAATAATATCTTCTGTTGAGTCAGCTCATTATTCTATCACATGGGCTAGATCTTTAGGTCAAGTGATGAAAGACATTAATTTGCATCAGATGTTGGCTGCCACCTGTGTTCACAGTGCAACATGAGAGAAACTGACTGCACCATCATTTTATAACAGATGGATTAAAGCATGTCTTAATATTGTACACAAGCAGAGAAGGGCTGGATTCTCTTGATCTCTTTGATAAAAACAGTACCACGCACTGTGGACACCTAATAAATATTAATTGGCATCAACTCAGTGGATGCCAGGCTCCTTCAGTTTGGACATTTAAATGGAGTATCCTCCTTGGTGAAAAATTAATAATAAAAGATTCAGTCTTCATACATCTTGGGTTCTTGACTGTTGTGTCTCACCATGTATCTTTCTAGAATTACTTTTAGCTCAGGCTGGGATCTAATGCCCCAGCTGACTTTGCACTTAAGCTTTCAAGTTTAATTCATGTTGCCTTTTCTCTTGTCTTCAGTGGGCATTTACCTTTTGTAATTTCATTGCAAGATGCTTACGCTCTGGTTCAGTCATTCAACTAACCGATGTTGCTTCTTTTCTTTTCTTTTTTTTCCCCCTCCAGATATTGATGAGTGTGCAGCTAAGATGCATTACTGTCATGCCAATACTGTGTGTGTCAACTTGCCTGGGTTATATCGCTGTGACTGTGTCCCAGGATACATTCGTGTGGATGACTTCTCCTGTACAGGTGAGCATTGAGCAAGGTTGTTTTTCTAGTCCACCACTTCTCTGCACCATATTTGTGTTGTTATAGTTGGTTCCTAATGCACTAGGTGCTGTTTTTACTTAAATCATTCTCTTTCATTATTTTACCCTCATATTTTAAGAAAAGAGGTAACAGTAAAAGAAATTTTATCTGGAGAATTGATTTCTACTCTTAGTATTTCTGCCTGTGTGTGTGCCCATGCATGCATGGGTATGTGGTTTGAAACTGAAGTCTTAGTTGCCTATAGTAACACTGAGGGTTGTGGAGATATCAGTTTTAAAAATAGAAAGCAGCAGCTATTTCCTTCCTTCATGATGAATTGTTTTAGAGTATAAGAAAATGTCTCCATTGTGAAAAACAAAGATAAATTTAAAGAGGTGACAGGAGTCATTGGTGGTCACGAATCAGGCATATGGGAGCCAGGAAAAATTTGCATTACAATATATTTATTGTAAATTTCTCACCTCTTCTTCCTATGTCACTGTGCTAAATACTGAATTAGAACTCCAGGGACAGTAGTCACTGCCTGCCTCTGTGTGAGTAGTGCTGATTTTGTGGGGCATTTGGTTTAGATTTTCAATTTATTTCCAGTAGTGTACATAAGGACATGAAGAATATATTGGTTAAGACTGATAGAAGATTCCAGGTTTTGAACCTTTTAGTGTTTGGATCAAGTGGGTTTAAATGTTCAGTCTGCAACCTATTTAAGAAAAGGGCCCCTTGAATCTAAGATATTAGTCATCTTTACCTTGCTATGTTTTCTGAATGTTTCTCTCCATTCTAATGGCATTGTCATATAAAACTGCGTTCTTCACCCAGAATGTAATGATACTCTTTTTATTCTACTGCTGATATATTTTATTTTCATTTGCGAGAAAGTGTGTGCATTTGGCAGAAAGAGAAAGGAGAGGGAGAAAGCACTCCCAAGCGGCCATGGCCATGCCACAATCCCTTTTCTTCCATTCTCCATTTTGGGCATACACACACCCATATGCCCAGCATGTCTGTCAAGTCATCAGGGCTGTGATTTGAACTGCTGGGTCAACCACTCCTAGAAGAAGCTTAGCCACGAGGCCATGGGGCTGGCCCAGTGCTACTATTGCTTTTAATGTATTTTGCTCCTGAGTAATGTTTTTAGAAGTGTAAAAATTTACAAAAGGTTGGGAAACATGTTATTATGTCCACATTTCTTTGCTATCGATGATTGCATGTTTAGGTAAAGGGTTGGAGAGTTCAAACTGATAACAGATGTCTGAGGGACACATAAGGATGAATCCCATTTATCTATCTTTTACATATTACATTAAAATTTCTAGGAAAACAGAGAGAGTAATTGCATAAACTAGCATGCTAAGATCTAAATATCTAAAGAGGTCAAAATCTTTGGGCCTGTAAACACTGTCTAAAAAGCTATGAAATTATAGGTAACTATTACTTTCTTCTTAATAGTAAATGTAGCTCTTAACTTACTTTAATTCTAAGATTAAAACAAGCCAGTGAAATCCTCCCAACACACTGGCACCACATCATGCAACTCAATAAACTTTAATTAAGGCCCTGCTGTGTGGAAGACCTGGTTGAAATTATATCGGAAGGCTCACCTCTGCTCTTATTTCCTCACTGAGGAAGGAAGGCAAGAGCTGGTGCTTGTTGAATGTCTATTAAGGACAGGTGCTCTGCGTGGCAGTTTATATATGGAACAAGATGGAAAATGTATTATCCTAAGAGCTAACTGAATTATTGGGTCGTTGAAAAGTTATGATGTATTTTTGCATAGAAAAACAGAAAAAAAAATGTCATGACTTTTCCAATAACCCAATATATTTAGAATGGGAATTGTGGCATTTACAATAAAAAGAAGGATTTGGGTATCAGTGGACACTTAGATATCCCTTCCCTACAAAAAGAGTTAGTAGCTCTGCCAGAAAAATCTACATACCACATATGTGAGTGCATGGGCACAGATACACACACACTGAATTTATTCTGAGAGGGAACTGGAATGCTAGAAAGAGCGAGAGAGAAAAATAAGGAAGAGGAGAGAGGAACCAGTCGGAAAACAAAAGGTTGCTGTGGAGGACAGAGGACCAGCAAAAACCATCCTGTAGGAGGAGAGCTGGAAGGATTTTTAAGAGAAGGTGGGCCAGTGAAATCCTCCCAACACACTGGCACCACATCATGCAACTCAATAAACTTTAATTAAGGCCCTGCTGTGTGGAAGACCTGGTTGAAATTATATCGGAAGGCTCACCTCTGCTCTTATTTCCTCACTGAGGAAGGAAGGCAAGAGCTGGTGCTTGTTGAATGCCTATTAAGGACAGGTGCTCTGCGTGGCAGTTTATATATGGAACAAGATGGAAAATGTATTATCCTAAGAGCTAACTGAATTATTGGGTCGTTGAAAAGTTATGATGTATTTTTGCATAGAAAAACAGAAAAAAAATGTCATGACTTTTCCAATAACCCAATATATTTAGAATGGGAATTGTGGCATTTACAATAAAAAGAAGGATTTGGGTATCAGTGGACACTTAGATATCCCTTCCCTACAAAAAGAGTTAGTATCTCTGCCAGAAAAATCTACATACCACATATGTGAGTGCATGGGCACAGATACACACACACTGAATTTATTCTGAGAGGGAACTGGAATGTTAGAAAGAGCGAGAGAGAAAAATAAGGAAGAGGAGAGAGGAACCAGTCGGAAAACAAAAGGTTGCTGTGGAGGACAGAGGACCAGCAAAAACCATCCTGTAGGAGGAGAGCTGGAAGGATTTTTAAGAGAAGGTGGAGTCCCATGAGGTCCTTCCATTGTGTTGCCCTACAGTAGGCAAAGTAAGTTTCCCCATGACCCTGCTATCATGGGTAATATAGCATCCTACCCACCCAGGATGCTGGATGAGAGCCAACCCACTCTCCCAATAGAATGCAGGCTAACATGGTAGACAACAGAAATGGGACATGTTTTCATAAGGTGTTAGGACCTAGGAGCAGAAGGAACCATTATAAAGTAACTATTCCTGTCCCTTCTACTGCCCCCACCTTCCATGTACACATATTAATACACAAACAAACATCTCTGTCACTATCGCTTCCTTCTAGGAATTTCAGGACTCTTAAGGGTTTTGGACTTCTATAGGTCATGAAAGTAAGATATTTTTCTTTAGAAAGCCTTCCTTTGATTGCAGATTTCTGTGAACTTACTGCTCCATTTTTATGCTTCTCTTCATAGCAAAACTTCTGAACTTTTTTTGTGGTTATTGCCCTCATTTACATTGATTCATCACATATGCCCTCCTCAACTCCCTCTAGACTTTCATATTTTCCATTCCATGGGCACCACGTTTGTCAAGGTTATCCATAAACTCAAGTTTGCTAAACCTAATGTTCTTATGTATTTTAGCAGCATTTAGCAGAGATGGCTACACCTTCCTTTTTAAAACATATATTTTAACTGCCAGAGGGTACGTGTACTCTCTAGAGACAAAGAGGGAGAAAGCACTCCCACGTGGGACTTGGTCATGCCACAATCCCTTCTCCTCCATTTTCCCTCCTTGTCAGGATTTTGGGCACACATTCACATGTGCCTAGTATTTTTTTCAAGCAACCAGGGCCAGAATTTGAACTGTGGTCAGCCTTAACCACTAGGCTTCTTAACTGTGGCTTCCTTAATGACCAGGCTACAGAACCAGTCCAAAACATACTCTCTTTTGGGCTTTTGTGACATCATATTTCCTAGTTTTTCTTCTGTTTCACTGACTGTCCTTCCAAATTTCTCTAGTTATTCTTCCTCTGCTAACTCTGGAAAGGCTCAAGTGTGCTCTTCTCTTGTCTACCCGTATGTTCTTTTAGATGTCTTTTTTATTTTCATTTTTGGAGCAGTTTTTGCTATAGGGCGTGTGCGCTCGCCAAACAGAGAGAGACAGAGACAGAAAGCGAGAAATCACCCCCCAGGGGGGATGGCCATGCCGCAATCCCTTCTCCTCCATTCTCCTCTTGGGATCTTGGGAACACACACACATGCGCCTGGCGTGGGTTTTAAGCCACCGGGTCTGGGACTTGAACCGCGGTTGACTATGTGGGAGTCCAGTGACATAGCCATTACGCTAACTGCCGGTCCCAGTGAGATGGACTCGATGCCGCAATCCTCCAGCCTCCATAGGTTTTTGCCATAGGATGGGCGCCACCACGCCCTCTTTTAGATGTCTTATTCTGTTACTGCTAAATGTAAGTACTTGAGATTTGGTGATTGATAAAGAATAGAGACATATTTGGCATATTTAGAGACATGTTTTCTGATGGCTAGAAAGTCTTAGAGCCTGAGAAGTGTCTGGTCAGCCTTTGGTTCTATTGTCAACAGAAGCAGGGAAGAGATCATGTGTGCAAAGAAAGGGGAAACAGAATTCCCACTTACTCTGTCTCTTCCATACCCCATGTCTGTTAGACGGTGCCCTCCCATGAGACTCCTCATCACTAAATGATCTCACCACCTCTGGGCACTATTAAATTGGGGTCAAATTCTAACACATAAACCTTTGGGAAACATATCATTATTTGAACCATGCTTTCATCAACATCCTATTGCACTGTTTCTTCAGGGGTTCTGAAGCATATGTTCAAAGGGACATTTATACATATGTGTTTCATAGGCACTTCATACTTAACATATGTAAGACAGACTCTTGATTCCCTTCCACCTGCAAACTTCCTCCTCTTCCAATTTTCTCCATTTCAGCATAGGAAAGCATTAGCTCCCCAGTTTTCTAAGCCAAAAATCTAGGGGTTATACTTTATTTATTCTGCTTTCTAGGTATAATAATTATCTTCCATTTTCAATCTATTCATGTTTCATTGAAACTACCTTTTACACCTCATTTGAATTTGGAGCACTTTTGTTCACACCCTTTGTTACCATCCTGGTAGATTTCGGCCATGGCCACCACACAGGACTTTCTGCTCCAGTGTTGCTCTACCATTATCCA